ACATTTTTTTGGAAAAAAAAAAAAAAAAAAAAAAAAGATACACCCATGAGTGCAAGACGAGTTACTGAAATTCCATATCCATTTTCCCAAACCTTAAAAGTTTATTGAAAAAGTGTATATCTGCTGAAAGTTAATTTTGTTAACTTTTAAGAGTGTGCTTGTCCTAAAGCTAACATACATGGACTTAAAAGCCACAAAACTCCAGTTTCGTTGTCATAGCGTTTCATCAAATAATTCAAGAAGAGGTCAGAAGATTCCGCTTAAACTGCAACATTTGCTAACCTGGGATCGGAGTCCTGTTCATATCTGTAATGATACACCTCCATTTGATCCCGGCAGGCCTCTCTAATGTTATTAAGCCACCTCTTGATGCCTCTTCTGTTCAAGTACAACACCATGAGGAACACAACTCCAATGAGGGCCAACACAATGCCGAGAAGCACATAAGAACGGGCATCCAAGTTTTGGCACTCCATGTCCCTCTTTTCTAGATCCATCACGTGCGTGTTCTTCTTCTTTTCGGGTTGCGCGCATTTCAGGCTACTGGAGTCTGCGCATTGGGAGCTATTCTTCAGCCAATCATAAAACTCCTTCAGTTTGTCACATTTACACTCGAACGGGTTCTGTGATAAGTAAATACGTATTTCCTTGAACTCGTTTAATTTCGCTAAATTGTGACTATCCAAGGTCGCAATGGAATTATTTGTCAGTATTAATGTGGTTAAATTGAGGTTGCCAAACCCAGAAAGCGGAATGACCTCCAAACGGTTTCCAGATAGGTCCAATCTCTGAAGATCGCACAAATTATCCGTGGACAGCGCGAGTGGTAATTGGCTCCCGCCCGAAGTCATTAAGGTGTTACTTAGGTTAAGATTACGTAGCTGTTCCAAGCCATAAAAAGTTCCAGGGGGCACAACCATTAAACGGTTGTGACTCAAATCTAAGGAAAGAAGTCGGGGGAGTCCACAAAACGCACAACTTTCGATCACCTGTATGTTGTTGTCCTGCAGTGACAGCGCGCGCAAGTCCATTTCGGTCCCATTGGCTGAAAACGCTCTCTCGGTTAAAACTGAGATATTGTATCTGTGTAAAGTTAAGTTTTGGATGCTTCTGGGCACTTCGAGAGGTAGTATGATCTCTTCACAACTCACCAATCCGTCATAACGCATGAAGGTATCGTGACATTTATGAGCTTCAGCGGACAAAACAAACAAACACATCAGCCCCACGCTAAAATGATATCGTTTTAAAGTGTGAGATAAAACGCGAAGTGGTTTTCTGTTCATTTCCATTTTAAACTGAAGCGAATGTTATTCCAAAGGTTTAATTGCAGCATATGTTCTCTTCATAGTTTGGATTCACCTCGCTTCGAGAAACCGTTTCAGCCATCGAGGAAAGCAGTCCGTGTGGCCAGAGAGTGAGTGTTCAGTCCGGCAGCATTTTCTCTTTCTGGAGCTCCCCTGACGACGCCTACACTAAAATGCGACCGAGTGCTGTCTAGCAGCATCCCTGAGGTGAGCAAAACCTCGCCCACTTCCCTCCGTGAGAGATACACAGAGCCGTGTAGTTTTGCAGTTAAGACTTTGAGAAACTTTTAAACGGGACAGCTACATGCTCTGTGGGAAAATAAAGCATGCTGCCTACAAGACTCTTCAGCAGGGGTGTAAAAATAGCAATCATAACAAGCGGGGTACAGTCTCAAAATTGTACTCAATTAAGCCAAAGTATCCAACAAAAAATATTTGTCAGAAAGTATAAGTATCCGCATTTAATTGTGCTTAATTATTGAAACGTTTGTATTGAAATGTATAACTAATATTGTTGTCTGATATTGTTTAAGTACTATATTAATATGTGCATAATGTATGTTTGTGCATGTAGAAAGACAGTATACCAGGTTTTGGGACTGCTATTTTCAGTGCACTGATGTGACACACCAATTCTAATAGACCCTATTAGGGATGGATGGAATAGGACACATCCCTATTATTATTATTATTATTATAATAATAACATCACAGTGTTACAAAAATAGATAAAAGAATTATACATCCAGAACAATACACGAGTAAACAAAATGGATTAAAACTTCATACATATATATATATATATATATATATATACACACACACACACACACACACACACACTTAATTAATTTAATATTTTTCATTCTATGTACACTGAGAAAAAAATGGTAACATGTTAATTAACTAGTTTTATTCAAGTCAAAAATATTATTTGCTGAAACAACCTAAATACATTCATTTATTCCACCAAAACTACTTTATGTGAGTTAAATCATATAGAAATTGCTCTTTAAAGTAACAACTGCAGGTTGCTACTTTTTGCAGTGTAGATATACTACATGGAAGGGTGAGTCGGGACTGGACACAATTAGAAGCACTGCTGACTTTGAGCTAACTCTAACCACAGTACTTACATAAGAATTATTCCACCTAGAAAGAGGATTCAGAGAACATAACATCTAAAATAACAAACTGAAAAATTAATGAAAGTACAAAACAAAAATACAAGCTTCACACTTCTGCTTTTAAATCCTCTTGTCTGTCCATTGTACTATAAGTGATCAGTGAATAATGAAGTTGTTGCATTATTGAAAGGTTTTTTCTTAAAATCTGTGACCAATCCTTAAGACTATTAATTCATAAAAATAGTTTACTAATCTCTGCACATGGATGGCTTAACCCTGCTCACAGTTTACTTATACATGCTCATGAACTAACCTGTGTGCACCGTTTACTATGGACTATGAGTTTGATAATGTAGAGCTAACAATTCTTTCACCTATTAAATATTTAACACAGAAGCACAATATCAATTCTTTGTAGTTTTGTATATCCAAAAGATAATTCCGCATGTATGCTCTCTGATGCCATCTTTGATTTGCTGTATCTGTTCACAGTGTGGCCTCTGCAATCTAATCTATATTGTGAACGCCAGCTGTCTACAGGGTCTAATGTTACTCCATCCTATCTGTCTGTGGTGTACAATCTGTTGGCAGGTAAAGCATTTTTAAACCCATTGGAATTTTTGCTGTCTGTCCTAAAACTGGTCTCTGGCCTGAACAGTATTGTTGGAGAACAGTTTCCGCTGCTGTGGATTATTGTTTAATAGCAGAGAGAAAATCTCCAGGCACTGTGTTGGATATGACACGATAATTGTACTGGTGCAATCAGACAAATAGACACTGGTAATAAGCTCCATAAACTCTCCCATGCTAAGAGACATAAAAGGAGGATTCATTTTGGTGACAAAGTTGAAGCTTCTGGCTCCTGCAGCAGGATTGTGGTCACAAGAAAAGTCATTTTTCCACCAAAGGTTACTCGAGTTCAAACGAGAGCACTCAGCATTCAGTCATTTTCTCCAGTCAAGTGGTGCATGTAGCTTTTAACGCTTGGAGATAATTCAATTTTGTGTGATTTCGTTACAGTTAGCCATCCTCCACCCTTTAGCCACACGAAATGTATTACTGATCACTTTACTTTAAAATCTAACCTTCTGCTTTCGATTTTAGCCCAATGTCTATCAACACTAGACTGAGAAGCAGCATCGTAATCATCAAAAATGCATGCATCAGAAGGGCTATAGCCTAAGTGATGGCTGTTATCGAGTGATGCACCATGATTATTTTATTCTGTGGGTACCTGACAAAATGGCCTAATTGTACTTGTCAGCCTATAAGCCGGTTTGAGGTGTGCAACAGATATGAGCTATCATGTTCCAAATGGACAACTTGGCCAGGTATATTACTTTATCCTTGAGGCTGCCCGTCTGGAGTACCACAGTTGGCAAAGTGTCACAATGTCTGTCACTCATGTAGCAGGTTCTTAGCCAGAAAGTAAGAGAGACAGATGCTTTACAGCTGTGAATAAATGTGTGAATTTTGAATTATATATAAATGGTACATTTAATTTATTTATATATATATATATATATATATATATAAAACTTTTAATATATTTTAAAATATTGTTTTCCTGTGTTTGCAAAGCTGAATTTTCAGCATTACTCCATTCAGCCATTGCTCCAGTCTTCAGTGTCTGCTTTCAATTTTCACCCTATTTCTACATCAACACTAGACTGAGAAGCAGCATCGTAATAATCAAAAATGCATGCATCAGAAGGGCTATAGCCTAAGTGATGGCTGTTATCGAGTGATGCACCATGATTATTTTATTCTGTGGGTACCTGACAAAATGGCCTAATTGTACTTGTCAGCCTATAAGCCGGTTTGAGGTGTGCAACAGATATGAGCTATCATGTTCCAAATGGACAACTTGGCCAGGTATATTACTTTATCCTTGAGGCTGCCCGTCTGGAGTACCACAGTTGGCAAAGTGTCACAATGTCTGTCACTCATGTAGCAGGTTCTTAGCCAGAAAGTAAGAGAGACAGATGCTTTACAGCTGTGAATAAATGTGTGAATTTTGAATTATATATAAATGGTACATTTAATTTATTTATATATATATATATATATATATATATAAAACTTTTAATATATTTTAAAATATTGTTTTCCTGTGTTTGCAAAGCTGAATTTTCAGCATTACTCCATTCAGCCATTACTCCAGTCTTCAGTGTCACATGATCTTTCAGAAATAATTGTAATATGCTGATTTGATGCTCAAGAAACATTTCTAATTATTATCAATATTCAGAATAGTTTTTGCTGTATAATATTTTTTTTTGGAAAATGTGATACATTACCATTCAAAAGTTTGGGGATAAATAAGAAAATAAATACTTTTATTCAGCAAGGACACATTACATTGATCAAAAGTGACAGTAAAGATATTTATAATGTTGCAAAATATCAAACAAAAAAGATTAAATAAAGATTCAAATAAATGCTGTTCTTGTAAACATTTTATTAATCAGAATCCTGAAAGAAATGTATCACATTTCATAAAAGTATTACACAGCAAAAAAAAAAAAAGATTAATATTGAAAAAAATATTAATAATTGAACACCAATAATAATTAATCAAATTAAGCACCAAATCAGTATATTAAAATTATTTCTGAAGGATCATGTGACACTGAAGACTGGAGTAATGGCTGCTGAAAATTCAGCTTTGCCAACACGGGAATAAATTAAATTGTAAAGTATATAATATAGAAAACAGTTCTTTTTAACTTATAATAATATTTCACAACATTACGGTTTACACAGTATTGTTTTATTAAATAAATGCAGCTTTGGTGAGCATGGGAGACATTACAAAAACGTTTTCACACATTTCCAACAAAGTTCTCATTACCTTAATGCAAAAAATCAAATTTGTGAACTGGACTTGTTTTCCTCAGATTTACATTTAAGCATTTGAAATGCACATTAGTTTTGTGTAATTGTTTGTGTGTGTCTGTGTGAGTTTGCACCACATGTGCATTGTTTGTAAAGAGAGTTCAGCGTCACTCAGCCATGTGTTTGTTCTATGCCCGTCACTTTAAAGTGTGTGTATTGGCAGCGTCTGACCGGCTTTCTGCTTGCTGGATCAGTGGTAACAGTGTGCTCTGTTTGGGTGAACTCCTCTGACAGCTCATTTTCCATTCTGCTCACTTCAGATCAACCTGATCTCTCCACAAAATGTCTGCATTAAACCTGACCACACATTTCCGCAAATTTCCAACATCCACCCCAGAGAGTAAATTGTCAGATAAGAGCACTTAACCAAAGCAGTGCATTGTCAAACGTCTCTCATGCAACACATTAGAACAATCAAAACCAGCTGACTGTTGAATTATTAATATACAAGAACACAATCTTGCAGCAGTTTGTAACTATTTTATGTTTTGTGGAATTGGTGACTAATTCATATGAACTCAGTGATGGTTATCTTTAGTGTGGAACTTCGTTTTTTTTTTTTTTTTTTTAATTGTACGTTTTCATATTCACGTTATACAAATTCACCACATCATAAAATAGTTGCATTTTCCTGTGATATCAAGTTGGTATATAGCTCAAATAAAAAGATTGCAAATTGCTAGATTTAAACTCAGAATTGTGAGATATAAGGTTGGAACTTCTTTTTTTTTTTTTTTTTTTTAATTGTACGTTTTCATATTCACGTTATACAAATTCACCACATCATAAAATAGTTGCATTTTCCTGTGATATCAAGTTGGTATATAGCTCAAATAAAAAGATTGCAAATTGCTAGATTTAAACTCAGAATTGTGAGATATAAATGGGCAATTCTGAGAAGAAAAGTCTGAACTG